TTATTAGCTCTTTCCATCTCCTTCCTCTACTCACTAATTTCTTTTTTACTGCTCCAGCACAGGGTCTAAGAAGAAGAGAGAATAAGGATAAAGGCAACACAGTCTTGGGTTCCTCTTATCTCTGTAATTTGGCCATGGCAAATGTTAAAAACTGACCCCATCCATTCCTGGGATACTACAGTAGATTACTTGGAAACCATCCCAGTTGGGAACCACACTGTTACATTCTGCCCAAGGCTAGCTACTTACAACAATCACCCTCGGGTCCTGGACTTCAGGAAATACATCTATTGTGTAAGGTCCCTTCTCCTCTCTCCAGTTCACATCTTATCTCTAGAGAACCCATTTTCTCTGACATTGATGGAAGCCAAGTTTACTCTTAATATCACTTACCCTGGAGGGGAAAATCTCCAGTTTAGAGCCTCTCACCTTTAGACTTTGTAGATATGGGCCAAATGTCAGTTCTTACTTTCCTCAAATTCCCACAGCCCAATGGCAAGGCCCTCAAAGGGATCACTTGAAGACCCCATCACGTAATTTGAGATAAGAAAGAAAAAAATCAACTTTCTTTACCCATAATTTTGGGGATAAGATCTCCACAGGGTATAATTAATCTCTGCAAGATAAATCTTTCCTCAACTTTCTAACTTTTCTAACCTTTCTCTTTCTTGTGGTGAGCAGAAATGCTCTAGCGCTTATAGAACATTTGTTTCTGGATTCCAAGATGCAATACTGGCTAACGCTTTGGCTCTGACTGTATGACCGTCACCTTTCAAGTCTTGCATAGATATTCTAGCAACATACTTCAAACTGTGGAGGTTCATGGGCTCACCTTCAGTTCTGAGGTTTGGGGCCTCTGGAAAAATTTCAGGGCAGAGTCAAATGTAACAAACTGTTAGACTACACACATGTATACATATGCATGTATGTACATATATCACTTTATCACAGATACAAATACAGAATCATACATGTATGTGTGCCTGAGTCTATATGTTAATGAAGGGAAATACAATATTTATAGAAAATATATTAATGTGAAAAAATTATTGGTGATTTTTTCTTCTTTTGTTTTTCTCTATTTCCTAATATAATATGCCTTACTCTTAAAACCATTTAAAAAGTATGTCTGTACACAAACACTTAATAATGGATCCTATTTTTAAAATGCAATCTTGATTTCAAAATAAAATAAAAGATTACTGAAACAGAATGAATAACCCAGAAATAGACATATATAAAGAAATTTATTATATGCTAAAGGAAATATTTAAGAATTGGTAAGAGTTACTTAACAAATGGCATTGAAATATTTTGGAATTACCTTCATAATAAAAGTCAGGTGGGAACTCAATAGTGTATAATACATATTATAATATATACACACACATCCAGACATATATGCACACCTATATACACATATCTATGTAGGTATGCATATCTGTATATACATATTAAGTATATATATGAAATCAAATTCTAAAAAAAAATTAGAACCAGGAGCGCCTGGGTGGGGTTTGGTCAGTGAAGCATCCCACTCTTGATCACGATCTCAGGTCATGATCTCAAAGTCTTGAGATCAAGCCCCGCATCATCAAGCCACGCTCACCACAGAGTCTGCTTAAGATTCTCTCTCTCCCTCTTCCCCTGACCCCACTCACAGACACTAAATAAATAAATAAAATATTTTAAAAATATTAGAACTAAATAGAATTGAGGAACATGTACTGGATCAATTTAAAAAGTTTAAAAGCAGTAAGAATAAGCATAAATGAAAAGGTTAACAGGTTTGGCTTCATAAAAATTTCATACTTCCACCTAGAAGTATTAAAAACCAGTAGTTTAGGGGCACCTGGGTGGCTCAGCGGGTTGAGCCTCTGCCTTCAGCTCAGGTCATGATCTTGGGGTCCTGGGATCGAGTCCCACATGGGCTCTCTGCTCTGCGGGGAGCCTGCTTCCTCCTCTCTCTCTCTGCTTGCCTCTCTGCCCCCTTGTGATCTCTCCCTATCAAATAAATAAAATCTTAAAAAAAAAAAAAACACCAGTAGTTTAAAAATACCCCAAAATGTGACAGGTTTGCAGAATCTTTTTAATATATGGACACAAAGGAGTTTACTTAGAAAAAAAACACTTTCTTCCCTCTTCTGTTCCTCCCTCCCAGAAATATTTATTGAGTGACTGTTCTGAACCAGAAGCTTTAATAAAATACCAAGGAAGCATAAAAAAATAAATATTATAATACATTTGCATTATATATATTATATATATTACATATATAAATAAATAAATTTATTTATTTATTTATATTTACATCTATATCTCTAGGCTTAAAGAAACAAAGTATCTAATGGGTATGACAGATAAGTAAGAGAGATTTTCTAACACTCAAAGGTAAATATTATGATAGCAGTTCACAAGGCCTGTTATGGAAACCCAAATTAGGGGCAGCGAACAAGGACCAGTGAATTAGCTGATGGGAGGTAGGGTGCCAAGGAAATTTCCTTAGAATAGGTAAAAAGAGATAGTAACTTAGATGAAGGACAAAGGATAGTTTAGAATTCTAGCTCTAACACTTACTGATAGCTCTCTTTCCATGGGCAATTATTCTCTGTGTCTCAAGTCCCTTGTCTATAAACTGGGAATGATAATAACATTTATATGGACACTGAAAGGACTTAATAAGAATTATTTAGTTATTTAGCATTTACTAAGTCCTTAACAACTGGTTGTTAAAAACAAACAAAAATCATAAAATGCCATTTGGAAAGATAGGGAACTCAGGAAAGAATAGTCTTTGCAAACTGCAAATCCACTATGGTAAAGTATAAATGTGAGGTATGGCATGGAGAGAAGTAAGGTTTGAGAACCAAATAAGGGACAGATAATAAAAAATTTAAAGGAAAGTCACAAAGAATTTTTAGCAAGAGAATCACACAGTAAGATTTTTCTTTTATAATGTTAACTGTATCAGTGATGTGGATAATAAATTTGAATATAATATGACCAAACATAAAACAACTAGTTAGGAGATGATCTCAATAATCCAGAAGAGAAATGATGAGGACCTGAAGTAGAACAGTGTATATTTAAAAATGTTAAGGAAGTAGAATCCATAAGATTCAATGACTGCTATGTGGGAAGAGGCAAAAATAGGAAGGACTGTTTCTAGATGTCTGCTTTAGGCTACTCAATAGATGCTAGTGACCTTCATAAAGATAAGAAACACAGAAGAAAGATTAACATGATTAATTTTTTAAAGATGGTATAGCTGTCCTTTTATTGTTCAGTATTATCTGGTTTCCCTCTACTTTGAGGGATAAGGGAAAGTTACACTCACCCTAAAATAGACATATACTGTAACTTTCTATAATTAAATGACTTCTTTTGTCTCTTATATTTTGGATTTCCTCACAGAAGTGCATCTTGTTTTTCCTCGTGAGCTACACACTCTCCAGCTTCATCTCATCCTCTCGCAGAACCTCATTTACCATTTATATTTGCTGACACCTGAATCACCAGATTCAGCCTGGAATTCTTTCCTCAACTATAGACCATCATCAACTTCTTACTAGACATCTCAGCTCAGACATTTCACAGACATTTTAAACTGAACATACTTTAAACGAAACTCTTATCTTGCCCCTGAAAAACCAACCTTTTATATGCGTCTTGAGCTCCTTTTTTAATGAGTTTCACCACCATCCATGGTGATGATGCTTACATCAGAAATCTGGATATTTTCCTTATTTTGTGCCTTTCTTATTCCCTACACTTAGTTAACCATGGATCATACAAACACCATCTCCTAAAACCTCTTGAATATTTGTCTTCCAGTCACAGAGGCAGTCATTGCTCTCTGTCTGATATTGGTAGTTCGGCTTTCTAATGTTCTCTCTACTTCTATCTGAATTGATTATCTGCTCTATAATTAGATTTTCCAAAATGACATTTCAATAGATTTATTAAGGTATAATTGATGTTTTCACCATTGTAAGTGTACAATTCAATGAATTTACTAAATGTGAAGGGTTGGGCAACCATCCAGGTGTAGAACAACTTCATCATCCAAAAAAATTCCTTCATGCCTGTTTGTAGTCAATCTCTAACCCTACCTACCTAGTCAACCATTTACCTGTTTTCTGTCTCTATAAACTTGCCTTTTCTAAATGTTTTGTATCTAAAACAGAAATTTTATTATTATTTCCCTACTGGGAACTCTAAAATACCCTCCATTTTTCCTCTATCCTCTAATAGAAAGTACAGATTCCTTAAAAAATAGACCAGTTTAAGGAAGGACTAGTCTTTTTTTTTTTTTTTTTTAATATGGAATACAACTGATTTTGTTGGTCTTCATTCTCTTCCATGCTAGAGGAATGCACCATTTCTTTTAGGAGGGTGAGGTGAAAATGGGAACTAGCTTGTTTCAGGTGCTAATGTTTTAGCGGTGGGCTTAATGGGGCACTAGGGTCTATTGTCCAAAAAGGAGTGGAAGTACAGGGAAAACAAAACAAAACAAAAACAAAAAACAAAAAACAGTAACTCGTGGCAAAATAGAAAGAAAGGAAGAAATGACTAAAAAGTTGAAAGATGAGGGATGATGGGTGGAGTTCCCAAGAACAGAGTTAGCAGTCTTTAGGAGATTAGCCCAGGAGAGAAGGGTCTATAGTCACACAATCACTTCATGGCTGAATCAGGCAAAAGAGAGATCTAGTAACGGGAAGACTGAGCCCTGAACACTAGGACGGCACTCTGTGGCAGAGAATCTAGAAGTTGATATTGAGGGAGTTGAATTCCTCACCTGGAACAGAATAATTAAGAAGTGAACCAAACTAGTTATGAGCCTGAACTAAGAAGCTTGGTAATGACACACTTTTCCTGATTCGGCCCTATTTGCTCTTCCACCCTCATAATATCGCTCTACGCTACAGCCATTATAAACCTCTCCAGGATCCTGATAGAGTTATGTCTACACACTATCGCAGACACCTGAGACTCCTTCTGGCTGGATCACAGTAACCATTGCTATACATCTAATTGATTCTACTTGCCTAAACTCACTTACTTCAACCGGACATCTAAATATCTTTTTCTGAGCTCAATCCCAATTTTTGATACATCATAATAAACTGTCCCCCAAATCCATGCTCTCTCCAAATAAGAGCATTCTTGTCTTCCAGTTTTCATACTGAAATTATCTTCCTGTGTCTAATCCATTAGACAGAAAGTCTCCTGAGTTTAGATACTATGCTTCATTCTCTTAATGTGTCTCCAGTGCTTATCATAGCAAATGGCATGCAATTAAGGCTTTGCATCTATGGAGCTAAAATAAGTGTAAACAATTATAATAATAATCATTATCTTAACATTTTAAAATAATTACAGATATAAATAATTTAAGAACATTTTACATGCAATATACAATTATAGTAATATCTAAAGAAATGCAAATAATAGATTTAAAATCTTTCTCCTCAATCTTTTATTGCAATTACATAGTTCTAGTTTTCTCTATGTAGCAGTAATACACTCTGAATTTTTCTTGGCTTAAGAAGGATGTGTCAATTATTTTGAGCTCTTTAACATAGTGATCCATATTAGTCCTCTTTTCATTAATAAGGTCATCTCTCCCTTGTTGAAGAAAAGTCTTAATAGTCTTTCTCGACCTTGTGTTGTCACCTACTTGGTGTGGAATTCCAAAATTACTGGTCCTAGTCCTTGTTTGCGGTCCAGCTCCTGACATTCATTTCAGTGAACTTTAATTGTTACTAAAAGTTTTCTGCTGATGCCAAGAATGGCCTTAGGCCTTCCCTAAAATTCTAACATCTCTTACATAGTTTAAGGTGCTATCCAGCTTTTTGCCATTGAAGCAGTTAAAAAAAAAAATCCTAAGCATGATAAACCAGCATTTACAAGAATAACATCAAAAGGACGTATCTGTCCTCCCCTGATCACTTTTCTGACCTCTGATAATTCCAAAAGACCAGACACAATGTCACAGACTACCATTTCTCAAAAACTGAACTTTCTTTAGAAGATGACATCTAAACACATTAAAGTAGGTTTTAAAGGAAAAATATGAGTCCACTTCCGGTTGCTTTTCTTAATAAATCTATACATGTGACTAATTCTGAGAGCTTTTATAGGTATAAAATAAGGAATTTGTGAGTAAGGATGGAGACTTAAAAAGTGAGCCTGCAGAGAGAGGATACTAAGGATTAAGCTCGAAATCACTCAAGATACTTACAGTTAAGGGAGACCACAAGAGGGAGAGACAGTAAAAAATCCAGGAGGAAATTCAACCACTACAGTACAAGAAAACCAGAAGGGCGTGATGTTCCAGAAAACAAGGAATGGATTTCAAAAAGGAGGCAGTGTTCAACTATGCCATTTACTGTTTTGTATTCAAATAATATAAGGACTTTGGACACTAACCCTTTATTTGATACATCATTTGCAAAATCTTCTCCTGTTCAGGAGGTTGCCTTTTAATTTTGTTGATTATTTCTTTCACTGTGCAGAAGCTTTTTATATTGATGTGGGCCCAATAATTTACTTTTGCTTCTATTTCCCTTGCCTTAAGAGACATTCTAGAAAAATGTTGCTATAGCCAATGTCAGAAGCATTACTGCCTGGCTCTCTTTCAGGATTTTTATGGTTCGAGGTCTCTCTTTTAGGTCTTTTATTCATATTAAGTTTATTTTTGTGTATCGTGTAAGAAAGTGTTCTAGTTTCATTCTTCTGCATGTGTTTGACAAGTCTCCCCGGCACCCTTTGTTGAAGAGACTTTTTCTTATTGTCTATTCATTCCTCTTCTGTTGGAGATCAGTTGACCACATAATTGTGGGTTTATTTCTAGGCTTTCTATTCTGTTATATTGATCTATGTGTCTACTTTTGCATCAGTACCAAACTGTTTTGATTACTGAAGTTTTGTAATATAACTTGAAGTCTGGAATTGTGATAACTTCAGTTTTATTTTTCTTTTTCAAGATTGCGCTGGTTATTTGGGGTCATTTGTGATTCCATACAAATTTTAGAACTATTCTAGTTCTGTGAAAAATGTTGTTGGTATTTTAACAAGGATTGCATTAAATGTGCAGATTACTTTGGGTAGTATAGACATTTTAACAATATTTGTTCTTTCAACCCATGAGCATAGAATGTTTTCCCATTTCTTTGTGTTGTCTTCAAGTTCTTTCATAAGTGTTTTATAGTTTTCAGGGTACAGGTGTTTTACCTCTTTGGTTAAGTTTATTCCTAAGTATCTTACTGGTTTATTTATTTATTTTTTTTTTACAGATGTGAATGAGATTGATTCCTTGATTTCTGCTGCTTCATTATTGGTATATAGAAATGTAACAGATTTCTGCATATTGATTTTGCATCCTGCAACTTTACTGAATTTCTTTATCAGTTCTAGTATTTTTTTGGTGGACTTTTTCAGGGTTTCTATACATAGTATCATGTTATCTGCAAGTAGTGAAAGTTTTACTTCTTCCTTACCCATTTAGTTGCCTTTTATTTCTTTTTATTGTCTAATTGCTGTGGCTAGGACTTCTAGAGTTTGTTGAATAAAAGAGTGAGAGTGGACATCCTTGTCTTGTTCCTGTCCTTAGGGGAAAAGCTCTCATGTTTTCCCCATTGAGTATGATGTTAGCTATGGATTTTTCATATATGGTTTTTATTATGTTGAGGTATGTTCCCTTTATGAGAACTTATACAACTCAGCACCCCCAAAATAATCCAATTAAAAATGGCAGAAGACATGAATATTTTTCCAAAGACATACAGATAGCCAACAGACATATGAAAAGACGCTCAACATCACTTATCATCAGGGAAATGCAAATAAAAACTACAGTGAGATATTTCACATTTGTCAGAATGGCTACAATCAAAAATACAGAAAACAAAAAGTGTTGGCAAGGATGTAGAGAAAAAGCAACCCTTGCGCACTGTTGGTGAGAATGCAAACTGGTCTAGTCACTGTGAAAAATATTGTGGATGTTCTCCAAAAAGTTAAAAATGGAACTACCCTGTGACCCAGTAACCACACTACTGGGCATTTACCCCCAAAATACAAAAATACTAAATCAAAGGGACATAAACATGCTGATGTTTACTGCAGCATTATTTACAATAGCCAAACTATGGAAGCAGCCCAAATATCCACTGGTAGACAAATGGATAAAGAAGGTGAGATATATATATATATATATCTGAGTGATTTCATATATATGTATATTTCATATATATGAAATCACTCAGCCATTAAAAAAGAATGAAATCTTGTCATTTGCAATGGCATGGATGGAGCTAGAGAGTATTATGCTAAGTGAAATACACCAGTCAGAGAGAGACAAATACTGTATGATTTCACTCATATGTGGAATTTAAGAAACAAACCAAATGAGCAAAAGAAAAAAAAAGAGAGAGAGAGAGAAACCAAGAAACAGATTCTTACCCATAGAAAACACACTGATGGTTATCAGAGAGGGAGTAGATGGGGGAATAGGTGAAACAGGTGATAGGGATTCAGGAATGCTCTCATCCTATTGAGCCCTGGATGATGTATGGAAGTTGAATCACCATATTGTACACCTGAATCTAATATTGCACTGTATGTTAACTATACTGGAATTGAAAAAAAAAATTTTGAGAACTAAGGACTGACCACAAAATTTGCCAACCAGAACACATTACATACCTTTCAGTCTCATTTATCTCATCTCCAAAATAGGGATAATGACAGCATCCATTTCATGAAGTGTGTGAGGGATTAAATAATAATACATGTTAGCACCTAACATGATGCCAGGAACAGAGGAAGAGTTCAGTAATGGGCAAGTAGTTTAATTACAGAACACTGAGCAGCTTGGATCATAGACCTTATGATATTTTATTGAATGCAGGATGCCTCTCAACCCTGTGAGAGCAAATTTGGCTCAAGAAGAGTCTAGTGTGAATGGAAAAATACAGAAATGATTACAGCTCAGGGGAGAAGCTAGAACCAGAGACAATGAAGAGAAAAATACCTTGGGCAGAAAGTTCGCATCCTTTGATTACACAATTCATACAACTGTGTTTTATTCTATTTCACAACTAGTAAGCATGCACTTTTTAAACTTTAGTTAAGGTTTGGGGGGTGCGTGGGTGGCTCAGTCGGTTAAGTGTCTGTCTTCCGGTCAGGTCATGATCCCAGGGTCCTGGGATCGAGCCCTGCATCGGGCTCCCTACTCAGCAGAAAGTCTGCTTCTCCCTCTCCCACTCCCTCTGCTTGTATACCTCTCTCTCTGTCTCTCTCGCTGTGTCAAATAAATAAATAAAATCTTTGAACATTAGTTAAGGTTTGGAAAGCACTTGGAAACAACAACGAATTTCCAATAAGGACAAATGATATATAAAGTTTAGTGATCTAAGTATTTAATATCACAAGTTAAAATTACTTTCTTCTCTCTTACACTAGGAGAACAGATATTTCTTGCTTTTATATATTATTTAATTCCACAATTTTATAATCAGCACTTTTCAATTTTTGAATAAATAACAATAGACTTATTATACAGTACTAGTGGTCTATGATATACATACACACACACACACACACACACACACACACACACATATATAGCCAAATGAAAGATATATTCCATTTGGCTAATTTTGTAGTCAATGGCCTTATTTGATTTCCTCTATTTTTTTTTCTCTCCTCACCAGATTTTAAATTAGCTATGTGATTGGTTCATGGTAAATATCTTAATGGCATGTCTTACAAAATAGCTAAAAGCAACTTGTTTTATTAGAAGTGTATATTGAAAACTAAGCACTAGGTAGACATTTTCCAAGACATCATGATCATATTGAAGTTAGATTCTGGGAAAAGTATGATAAAAAATTTTTTTTAGTGCTATAATAGGCTGGCTGAAAGACTGTCCTAAAATAATGCATTAGCATGAATCATATCTTTCTCTGAATTTTTAGAGTTTTTATGTACCTCTAGTCTCTCAAATTCTATTTTTACTTACTACTCTCCTCTAGTATTGAGATAAATCTTTTTCTTCTTCAGTTTTCTACTTATCAAATTTAAAAAAAATAGTGATTTTAGGAGGACTCTCTTTAAGCATTCTTTCATAGTACTCTTGTGCTCATTTTCTATCTTAACATTTACCCAGGAAATTTGGTTTGGGAAACAAAACATAAATGTTTTCATTTATATAGGCCTGGAAACACCACCAAGAGATTAAAAGTAATGGTTCACTTGCAAGAAACTGAGTTGTAGCAAAACATATTTGCTCAAATATATAGCCTATGTCTTATCAAT